TATGCACAACACTTTGAATGTAACTTTCATTTTGACATTTTCATTAACATTGTAATTAATGCATTTCAACTCAATTCAGTCATTTATTAAACTTTTTCCTATAAATTGTCACATTTTTTACCACGTGTTTTTGTGAAAATCCGCTCTTTAGGTTCACTGCGCGCATCCGGAATTCAGCGCGGTAGAATAGGATTTGAATTCTTTGGAACTTAAACACATTTTAAATAAAATACACAGTTTTTTTAATTTAGTAGGATCTTGAATAAAGTTTGATTGATTAACACAGACCATGGAGCATTCAATCCTGCTCAGAAGAGCGACCAAGCAATACTGACACCGGAGTGTATGCGCGACATCGAACTCGTTCCACTTTTACTTTTTACAGTGCCGCACTATTATGAACTAATAAATAATAAATATTGAAAAATACTAATTTTTAAATAATTTTAAAGATTTTTTATAGAACTTCAACATTATTTTATGAGCCTTTAAATGGTTCAAGCGGCAGGCTATCGATTAGACCAACTGATTCTCACAGACTTTTCCTTCTAAATTAATAATTTCTAAATCTAATTAAATTTAAATTAATCTACATAATAAATATTAATTTATTAAATCATTTCTTAATATTTAACAAAAGTTAGTTCAGAGAAAAATAATATTCTAGTATTTTGATTTGTGTTATATAAAATATAAATAGAAACAGATTTGTAAAAATAAGTATTATTTTACCAAAGTCATATAGGTGTGAATATCCAAAAGGGTATGACCTTTAGTAAATTAGTTTTTCCACAATATATTTTTTCAGAATAAAATACTATTTCACTTTTTTCAGTGCCTCACTATTATGAGTTATTTTTAAATGTTAATTTTTCCAAAATAATAAATATAAACATTATTTTCAACGTACTTTTATAGAACATTATTTTTAAAAAACTCTTAGAATTTCATATTATCCATTTTGATTTTGGCAGTGTTTTTCTTCAACATTGAAGCGCCTTAAATAAAAAAAAATAAAAATTAAATTAAATTAATTAATTAAATTAAAAAAAAATTTAAAATACAAGCGCCTTAAATACAAATAGCATGTGTTTCTGAAAATATATGTAATTTATTTTTATTTGAGAAAACTATAACATATAATAAACTAAAATAAATTATAATGGAAATAAAAATAAGTAATATTTTTTTAGAAACAAATGCTTGCATTTTAAATGACCCATTATAACATAAATAGATATAATACCCTAATTTGTTATAGGCTAAAAATTATTTTCAAAAAATTTAACAGAATGATATCCTAGGCTATATTACCATTTTAACACCATTACATAAAATTATAAAATAATAAAACACAATTTAATAATTTATCATATATTACACAATATATAAATAGTATACTTTGTATAATTTTATTGCGGATTTGAATGTATTATTATATTACCTAAAGTGAGTAAATTAAAATTGATAATTGTATTTATGTGCCTAAGATATACTCTAATATGATGTTTTCAAAATACATTAATTGAACATTTATATGATATATAGTTATATATAATCAGAAATGCAAATGGTTTTATTTAACACTAAATTGTCATGTATTTATTAATTTTACTATTAAATAAATAAATAACTTAAATTATTTGATATTTAAAATTTGTCTATCAAGTTTCATGCTACCACACAATTTATTTATTAAAGAGTGGAACTTCGAATATAACTATATATATAGTCATGAGTTTATATATATATATATATATATATATATATATATATATATATATATATATATATATATCTAGAGGTAATAACAATTACACACCACATCAATATTACATTTTATGTCAACATATAAGTCGCAATGCCTAGTTTTATAGAGATCATACTACAAAAAATTATATATTATTTGAAAATTTATATTTTATCTAAAATTTCGTCAAACTTATCTACAAAATATATAAAAATCAAATAAAATTGAATTGTAAAAATAGGTGTAAAAAATTAAGTATCATGTATAATACAATTGTTCAAAAAATACTGTAAAAAAACATACAGCCAACGTACAAATTTCATTCTTTAAAACATTCATTATTTTTGTTTATCGCATGGATAAATATTATATCACTCTAAGTTTAATTTACTAATGTTTATATCAGGATCAAAATTAACATTACCGCTGGTCACTTCAATATTATTGGTATTGTTACTACTTTCTTTATCAATATTTACATCACTGTCAATAGATTTTTTAGATTTAAATTGAGGAAAAAAATCATTTCGGAAAAAATCCTTCCCACTTTTTAATAAACTCTTGTTTGTAGATGTTAAAGATAAACTATTTTTATCATTTTTGGACTCATCTTCTTGACAATCAGCTATAGTACTACTTATTGTTTCATCCTTATTTTCATTAGGATTAGGATCTATGTGATATATTTTAACATTCATATCTGAGTTTACAAGTTTTGCTTGTTTGGGAATGTTAGATTGTAATCCTGATTCAGACTGATATGATTTGGACAGTAAGTAGCTCATACTTTGTTCACTTTCTCTTTTATACTGTATTGCTGTCCAGACATCCTTTAATTCACCTGATAATTCTCGTTCAGGCAGCACTTCTGCTTGCCTGAATTTATAGTAGAAATAGATATAAATGATTTGTGTATTACATTTGGAGTTTCCTATTAAGGTTGCTTACCTTTTTAAAACAAGTCCGGGATTCATGGCTTCTACAAAGTCACACATTAACTCAACAAGTGCCATTAGTTCCTAAAGACACAAACAATTTTATAAACTAACAATTTTATATATAAAACTATAACAATTCTATAGTATAAATTGAGGCTTTGAATCAATAAAATTAATAAAGTAAGTATAATAGATTCAGATTTATAGTTTTTAATAGGTTTATCATAACTTTAAATTATAACTTTTGATTCCCACATGAATAATCTTTCAAAATAGAATTTATACAAGTGAGGTTTCCAAATATTACAAAAATTAAGTTATGTTAACACAAACAATTTCATAATCTAACAATTTTATATACAAAACTATAAAAATTCTATAGTATAAATTGAGGCTTTGAATCAATAAAATTAATAATGTAAGCGTAATAGATTCAGAATTATAGTTTTTAATAGGTTCATCATAACTTTAAATTATAATTTTTGATTCCCACATGAATAATCTTTCAAAATAGAATTTATACAAGTGGGGTTTCCAAATATTACAAAAATTAAGTTATGTTAAAAGTGGGGTTTCCAAATATTACAAAAATTAAGTTATGTTAAAAGTTATTACCACAGGATCTTTACACAGTCGTCCATTTGTCTTTAATATATCAGGATTGGCCATTACAGCAAATACTAAAGGGGGTGTATTAGAACTCGTTGGTGGTACCTGATTCAATAATGTTTATAATGTAATTAATACGGTAATGAAAAACTTATAAACAATCCGAAACAAGTAAAACACTTCACTTGTTTCTGATATTAAAAATACCTAAATTGTTAGAAAAACTCTTCGATTTAAAAAATTCATTCTTATACAAATTATTGCAAATATTGTGGCACTATAAATAAGCCCAATTCGAATAGTGAATTGAATAATAAAGAAAGTGCTATATAAATATAATAATCTTACTTGACTATTATTATTATTTAGATATATAAAAGGGTAGATTTAAGTGAGACTTCATATTAAATTTAATTATTCCAGGATTATGAATAATATTGTTAAACAATTTAATAGTGATCACATAAATATTTGACTGCTAGATTAAACTTATTTTATTACCAAACAAATGTAAATAGATAGATATATAGATAGATAGAATGTAAGTGTAATACATGTAAATATTTTTATACCATGCAATATATCAATATAAATACATTACACAAAACTTACCCTCATTCCACCATAAAGAGGTATCGGATCTTGTGCAGACTTCGGCATTGCTATTTTGTTCCAACTTAAAACATTTATAAACAATTCATTACCATCCTTTGTTGAATCTCTTATACACATATGAGGTTGCGGAGGATTTTTAAAATTACTCAATGATCTAAGACTTTTCATAACTGGCATCGGTCTATCACTTGCTTCTGATGAACCCAGATAATTTGATTGGGACATACTTCTAATTTAGTCTTAATAATGTAATAATTTAATATCACAAATATAATTTATAAGCACTACATTACACAAATTAAAAATAACAATAAGTTTGGTTAATTTTTTTGAAACCAATGTGTAAAATGTCAAATGAAATGATTAATGAGTAATGTAAAAGGAATTGATCAATAATTGGATGTTTTAGAATGTCTAACAATAACAAAAGCACGTCCCAGGAACCAACTTAGACATTGTTGACATAAAACAAATATTTTATCTTGTCAGTTTTAGTAAGTTGGTCTTAGAGGTTTTCTTTATCCATTTACACGTCTTGTATAAAACTATTAAAAAGTATGAATTTCATTTAAAATATCATTGAGTGATGGATTGTTTAAATTATTTTTATGTAAACACAAAATTAAAATAGCTCTAATGTAAATAACAACTACGACTACAGAGACATCTTTAACAAATATGTGGTAGTGAACTAAAACATTAGCTGAGACTTAAACCTTTTTAATGACAGAATAATTTTGACATATTTTTTTTTAACAAATTATTAACATTAAATTCTAATTTTAAACTCTTCATCATATACTATATATCAATTTCAAAAATATTATAATGTTCTAACATTTGCTAGTAATCTAATATAGGAAGCACACATTTGTAAAATTGCATATGTCAAATCATACAATTTTATATGTGAAGACAACAATGTACTTAATTATAGGATTTCTTATTTAAACTTACACCAATGATTATGTAAGTAACTAATAATATTGAACTAAATACATTTTAATGTAATATTGAATTGAAACAATTAAATTCAAGTAATAAACTTTAGAAAGAAATTAGTCGATATAACCAATAATACTACTAGTTGTTTTTAAGAAAACAGTTGAAAAGAAATAAATCACTCACTATACATTAGCAAATTTATACACTTTCTTGGGACATTCTATATTCAAAGACACTTCCATGCTCCTGGAATGTTTTGAAGCACGGTTTATTTTCTACTTTTTGTGATAATTTTCGTCTATTTTCATCATTAGCCAATCCATATCCACCTCCTCCTGGAGTCAGCATTGAAAAAATGTCCTGATAAGAAAAAGATTCATATTAATATGTAAGGATTATATTATTAAATAAATGTATATTGTATATATTCAGGGAGATCACAACTATAGTTAATCTACTTTATACTGAACCACAAGATCCATGTTTTTTGCAAAATGCTAATTCTATAAAATAATCTAATCTCAATATAGTATTTCAATGATATTTATATCATACCCCTGGTTTGACTTTTATTGCTGTTTTAGCTCCAAGATTTATTTTCCTCTTTTCTTGAGCTCTTATAAGAACATTAACACCACTTGCACCAGGCTCTCCACCTGCCATTCCATAGGGTTGAAAAACTCTTCGTTCAGTCAAAACTGATAATGTCATTTCCTTTCGGAATAGCAATTCTCTTTGAACACCATCACCACCCTTGAATAAACCTAGAAATATACACAGATTATTAAAATTATGCATATATATTCATCATAATCCTTGTTCTAAAATATAGTTTTGGTTATCACTCACCATTTCCACCGGAATTAGGACGCAAACAAAACGTTTTCAAAATTATGGGATATCTAAGTTCCAAAATTTCTGGATCGGTGATGCGAGTGTTAGTCATATGAGTGTGGACTCCGCTTTTACCATTCCATGTAGGGCCCTGAAAATATCATATAATTTAAAATATAAATAAAGTAAGAATATTTTATAGTTACAAATAAAAACTTACAGCACCACTACCTCCTGCAACTGTTTCATAATATCCCCATGTTTCTTCTCCTATTGTGATATTGTTCATACATCCTTGTGAGGCAGCACATGTGCTAAGATAAAAATAAAATAATTGGAAGTTAATATATATATATATATATATATATATATATATATATATATATTGAATAAAATTTAATATTTACCCGAAAGCTTTAAAGACAACATCGACCACTCTTTGGGAAGTAAGAACATTACCTCCGACAACGGCGGCGTCATCACTAGGATCCAAAAGTGATCCTCTAGGTATTTTAATAGAAATAGGTGCAAGACATCCCTATCAGTAAAAAAATAAACATTATATCCAATCTATCTATAATTTTGTTACTTTTATTTTTCAAACCTGGTTCAGAGGCACATCATGACCGACCATACATCTTAAACAATAAATAATTGCTGAAAGTGTTATAGCTCTTGGTGCATTACAATTGCCCCATACTTCGTCACCTGTGCCACTAAATATAATATATACAGTTAATAAATCACATATCACAAATATTTTACTATAATATTACTTGAAATCACAAATAGCATGTCCATCTTTTTCATCAAGAGATACAGCAAGTTTAATTTTGGATCCATTGTCCATCATCTCTTCAGCATGTAATAATGTAGTACCAGTCCTGAAATATATTATGAAAAAATATAGAAATTATTTAAGAAATATTAAATTTGATAAAATTATCAATAAACCTTTCTTTTGTCTGCTTTGCTATATCTTTTAACATATTTCTCACCGCAACTTCAGCATTATTTTGCATGTGTCTCATATATGCTTGAACTACATCTAACCCGTAATAAGAAATTAGTTCTCCTACTAACTGAATTCCCTGATGAAAAAATTCAATTTTTGTAATAATTTCATTCAAAGTGGTAAAAATAAAAAGTTGGCGCAACGGCAATATTATTATTAATTATTATTTACTTTGTGATTAGCTGCAATCTGCGCCTTCAAATCTGAAATATTGTCCGCTAAATTCCTGGTTCCTGAAGAATTTGGCAATTTACCAGGAGCCATAAGCCGTTCTGTAAGTCCTTGCTCATCAAAATGACCATCATTTACCAGAAGAAAACTCTTAAACCAAGCACCTTCCTGAGATAATAGTGTTGAATGCGGTGGCATAGAACCTGCGACGTAAATATATTGTAATTATATATAACTTAATGTAATAAATTTAAATTATTATGAAAAACAAACCTGGAGTGATTCCTCCAATATCTGCATGGTGTCCTCTTGAAGCAACAAAGAATACTGGTCCTTTATGACCTCTAAATAGGTAAAATATATTAAAGCGGCGGTATAGTCACAAATAATGAGTGATTAAGTGCAACAACCTACTTGTGAAATACTGGAGTAATCACTGTTAAATCTGGCAAATGAGAACCACCAGCTTGAGGATGGTTTGACAATAATACTTGGCCTTCTTTTAACGAATCACCTCGAACGCGTATCTGATAGACCGCAATATCGATAGATGATTATTAGATAATTTAGATAATTATCCTTATATTTTTATAAAGTACCTGATATTGAACCGTTTCCTGCATGGCTCCTAAATGCACCGGAATATGCGGCGCATTGCTGACTAAACCGCCATCAGGTCCAAACAACGCACAAGAAAAATCTAATCTTTCTTTTATATTAGTAGAAATAGCGGTTCGCTGAAGAATTCTAAAATTTCATTAGTTTCAATAATCAGTTTTATTGTCGATGGGATATTGTCTTACTTACCTGCCCATTTGTTCCGCAATACTCATAAATCGATGAGAAAATATACTGAGTTGAATTGCGTCTAATTCTGGACTAATTGGTTTTGGTTTGCCAGAGCCGACGCTAAAAATTTAAAATAGCAGTAAATAATATTTGTTCATAGTGTAAAATATTTTTCTAAAACGTACCGGATGATTAAATCATTTCGTTCGGTAATTGTTGCCGAACATTCTGGTTCAATAAGAATTGTGGAAAGTCCATCTATCAGTATTGACGGACCATTTAACACATCGCCTGGATAAAGGTCCTCACATTTGTAAACCGGTGTTTTGTGCATTCCGGATTCGAAATGCGTATCCTTCACCTATAACAAACATATTCTCAACATGAAATCCATGAGTGCAAAAATTAATGAGATATTTGAAATATTTACATAAACCGATTAAGAAAATTTTGAATGTATTAAAAACGCGGAAGTACGAAAAAAAATATTCTCTAACCGAATGAGGTTCAAGTTTGGTTTTTCTTTCACCAGACTTCCTAGATTCCTCTGGAGCGTCAGAGTTGCCCGCTCCTCTCACTCTAATGTCATCAACAATAATACGTCTACCAGTAATCACAAATCCGAACTCACTTTTATATCGCAACAGAAAAGAATCAACAAAATTTCCGTAATCAGGGATTACAAGTTCTTTTGCTTCAGCTTCTTCATCGGCTTCGCCGGTTTCCTCTTTAGGAGCGCACATTAGTGCGCAATCAGTCCCCTCGTACCTTAGATGAAGATATGGTTCTAATCTGATTTGGTTTGGAGTAAACCCTTGCTCCTTAAGTTTCTTAATGCAAGTTTCGCTCAGGTGATCTAGTCTCTGCTTAATTATTGGAGCTGATTGTTCACTCAAAATCATTCCTGATGGTTCTTGAGCTTCGTGCACCACATCAGCTAATGCCATGCCGTACGCAGATAATATACCTAGAAATAAAATTTAAAACCATATCATTATATAAATTAAATAAAATATACACAGATAAAAACTTCAATAAATTTATTACCTGCATATTTGTGGACAAGTACTGTTCCCATGCCCAAAGCAGCCGCTACTGAACACGCATGTTGACCTCCAGCACCTCCAAAAACTGCCAATGCATGTCGAGAAGAATCAAATCCTCTTGCTTGCGTCAAAGCTCTAATTGCTCGACACATCGCTTCATTTCCGACTCTTACAAATCCTAATGCAACTTCAGCAACGGTTAGCTAAAATACACATTAAATCATAATTGTAAATGTGAACCAGATTATTGTTCGAGCTTGAAATATTTACTTTTTTATTGCCATTTTTCTCTAAATATTCATTTATTTCATTAGTCAATTTTTGAAAAGCAGCCAAAGATGCATCTTTATCCAATGGTAGATTTTCGTCTGGTCCAAATATTTTTGGAAAATATTCGGGTAATATGCGGCCCAGAACAAGATTCGCATCAGTAATGGTAAGAGGTCCACCTTTGCGATAACAAACTGGACCAGGATGAGCTCCTGCACTCTCGGGGCCGACCACGAACAAACCGGAGCGGAAAAATAACATTGATCCACCGCCTGGAAAAGAAATTAACTTACTTTATAAAATTGTTTACAAACAAATATAATATATGATTTTGAATTTGCAAAAGAAAATATTTATCATCATATAAACAAGATATATACAATCTTTTTAGACATATCTTTTTCCTACAAACGGCACACTTGGGCAGCAATTATTAGACAATAAGATCAATATCAGTCAATTAAGATAAAGCAAGATTGCAGTATCACAAAATTTATCTTGGTCACGCCACCATCAATTCAAATATGAAGTATAGGCTAGAGCAAAATAATTGAAATTTTACTTGCCTGCAGCAACAGTGTTAATATCAAGCTGTGGTGCTTGAATTGTAACACCAGCTGTTGTTGCTTCAACCACGTGTTCATAAACACCTGCATAACGAGATACGTCAGTAGATGTACCTCCCATGTCGAATCCAATTAGTGGTAATTCAGTATCTCGAGATCCAGTAACAGCATAGCTGCATATGGAGAAATAATCTATTAAAAATCTATTATCTTTAATTTTAATTAAAATGTATACCCCACAACTCCGCCTGCTGGTCCACTTAAAACGGCTCTGGCTCCTCCAAAAGCATCAGCATGTGTCAGGCCGCCGTCGCTCTGCATGAACAAAACGCGGACTCCTTGCAGCTGGTCACGGAATCCTGATCGGAAACCTCGTAAATAGCGTTCCACATGGGGTGTCAAGTATGCTTCTGCACATGCTGTAAAACCTCGGGAAACTAGGCGACACATGGGCATTGCACGGTGCGATAAAGTCACATGTTCAAAACCTGGTAAAAACAATAAAACTTTAAAAGTGAAATCCTATGAAAAAAATAGAGGCATTATCTACAAACCCATTTCGGTCAATAACTTTCCAACCGCTAATTCATGATCAGGGCAGCTATAACTATGTGCAAGTACAACCGCTGCCGATTTTATTCCATTCTTCAATGTATTTTTTAAATCTTTACGTAATGAATCTAAATCCAACGGTTCTAATTCAACTAAAGCGTTACCAGCAGTTCCGCAAATTTCCTTTAATCCATTTGTAATCAAGCATTGGCCCGGTTGAGAAGGTACAAGTCGCCCCGAGACTTCTACGACTTCTTTATATAGAGAACTAGGAGTCTTGATATCAAGTTCGAAGATTGCAGGGCGTGCTTGATTTCCAATATGCAAAATGTCTTTGAAACCTTTGTTCACAATCAGAACAAATGGTTCGCCTGTTCTTTCTAATAGAGCGTTCGTTGCAACTGTGGTTCCCATTCGAATGCCGCCAATTAGAGAGGTGTCTATTAAGCCATTTTCGTCGATGGCCTTACCAGTTTCCTTAACAACAGACATATGATCTGTCACAATATTTTTTATAACAAAGTATAATTATATGATGATTATTACCTCTTGTAGAATTCGTCTTATTCCTTCACGTGGTGCATCAGGATATCTAGGATCTTCTGATAGTAATTTCATAGTACGAACTCGGCCTCCAGGACAATGGGCCAGGACGTCCGTGAAAGTACCACCGCGGTCGATAGCAAAAAAGAATTTTTCTCGGTCAGAAGTAGGAGCCTGATAGAAACATATGAAATAATATGTTAAGTTAAATGTTCTTCTCCAAAGCAAAGGAATCCGATCTTCTAATTAACTTCCCGTAGGGTAAGTTAAGCTAATCGCAAAAAATTCGAAATTTTTTATATATCTTAACGTTTCAGAGGCTTCTGAACATTTTGGCATACCTTAGAAAAAATGGATGTATGTGTGTGGGCGCATACAAATTTTTGTCGACGATTTCGGGAACACAGTTCAACCGATTTCGAACCGAATTATTAATGATCAATTATATCAATTATATATGATCAATATTAGATAAATTCTAAAATTAAAATTCAAATTTTATTTACCAATCTGTCAAATACACATATGGTCAACCGTTGGGTTACCATCTAAATATGGCGTAAACGGTGAAGTTAGAAGCAAATAGGACGGAAGTTCTGATCGCTGTTGCAGAATGAGAAATACAAAAACACCATTTAAACAGAAGATTTTCTAGATGTTATATTATTATCAAATAAATATTATTAAATTATAAATAAAAATGTAGTAAATATTTTTTAAAAAAATGCGGCTTCTTCTCAAATTAATAAACAAACAGAAAAACATTAAAAGTCGAAATTGGCCGTAGACCGCCTTTTTGATACAAATGTGAAAGAATTATATAATATTATACAAATAAATATTTGTTTACACTCATATGACCTTCATCCTATTAATAGCAAATACTATCACCTACCTGTTACAAGCATAAATAATTTTACCATTACATGCTTACCATTTCTATTTCTAAACAACTCCGGCGTGTATTATTAAGTTTAAAATCACTAAACAATTTATCTACTGCGCACTTAGAAGCACGACGAACATTTAAATGCACATAATATACAACTTATATTATTACACAACACTTAAATTTGATATTTTATCATATCAAGATAGTATCTACAAATAAAATTTATCAACAAAAAATATTCCTAAATAAACAACATAAATGCACATTCATATAAGAATCTAATTAGATTCTAACGTAGATAGTTATCACAATGTAAAATTTTGATATGGAAAATAATGAGACGATACAAATTTATATACTAAACGACATTTTATTTATTATGATTGGCCTAGGCAAACAATAATTTTATTAATGGGAATGAAACCAAGTTTTGACGCACTACCACGTGTATAATCTTCAGACCATGTTTACTTATCTATGCTTCAGACCGTATCTTCAGACAGTTTTGACCACGCTCAGACAAGAGAGCGCTACTTTTCACATTCAAATTAATAGCGCGAAATTTGAAATGAAACTTAATGAATTTTAAATAATCGGGTATTTAAAACTAAATTTGGTATTACAATCGTATTATGTTATGTAATAATACAATAGTTTTCAATTGTGTCCGCATTTTTTCGTCCACGTTTTCGGGCGCACGGATCAATTGATTTGAATGGCTCAAAAAACATTCGATGTGCTGATTAGTTTTTGGCAAAGGCAGGTCCAGCCGTTACGGAGATACGGAACAAGGAGTCCATAAAATACAAATCGAGTTTGAATGATCTAAAAAACATTCAATTTGTAATGACTGGGAAAAGAGGTGATTAGTTTTTAGCAAAGGCAGGTCCAGCCATTTCGAAGATACAGAGCTAAATGTGTGTGGGAGTAGTAATGATTATGACAATATACTAAATTAGAAACTCCCAACATAATAAAAAAAATATAAATTTATTAACTGTAAAAATATTTCGATATCAAAATTATACATGACATGTCCCATTGTTTTTTACAAATCAAAACCAGCCTGCTTGATATCGCCACATGTGTAAAAAATGACAGTTTATGAGAGAACTAAGCGTCTGATTTGAATTATTCAAAGAACTTTCTGCATGTTTTTAATAAAATTTTCATTAAAAATTTGACAGACAAAGGAACACAGAAGCATGTTTGTGAAACTACATATATTAATTTATTTATAATCATGCATATAAAATAAAACTAAGGGTTTTCTTTGATATTTATTCCACACATTGATGCTAACTCTGAATGACAGACATCCGCGAATATTTGAGATTTTAGAAAGTTTTTACGCTTTTATTAACTTATCATAAAAATAGCAGATCATCACAACTACATTAACTACATTATGAAATGAACTTCAATTATTAATATAAGATTTATAAAAGGTATTTGTTGTGCGGCGTTTTCGAATATATGTATGTTCATCAACATAATAATAGTTAAAATTATTCCTATCCATATGTTTAGTTATTTTAGTTGATTTTTACATTTATATCAATACAATATGCATTTGAGATTGTCTATAAGGGGATTGATTTCACATATACTAAAGGGGTAATTATACAAGTACATGATTTAAATTATATATATATATATATATATACATATATATATATATATATATATATATATATATAACACATAGGTTTTTTCATTTCAAACGTCGTTTACAAAACGAAATAATCCATTCTGAATTATTTTTGTTTCTAATGAGTTTGCTATTTCTATATATTTTATAATAACATCATGTACATAATGCCGTAAAATATATGTTTTAAATATAAAACAATGTATGAAAAATTGGAAACGAAATATTCTGAATAATATAGCAAATTTTAGACTAAATTGATAATCATTCTCAATTACTTAATGGTAAAATATAACATTAATTTAAAATTTTTATATATGTTGTAAAATATCGACACCTATCATCTTTAAAGTAAAATGTTTATTTATGTAACTTTTATATACAATTTAATGTTTGTAAGTAAATAGATAAACCTTTAATAATGATCTAATAACTAAATCCCATAACTTTTAGTTATTTAACTACATATTACATAATAATACCCTGCTATAGAGAAACTTACTTTCTTACTGAATGTTTAAGCTACATGCTATTACTAAACTTACATTTATCATGATAAAAATTTAGCTATTAATATATCCCAACTACATTTTTAAATGTTTTCTATGCAATATTTACACTCTGACTTATATTTATTAATTCCAATTGTAAATTTAATTAAATTACAACAACCTTATTTTATATAAAAATTATTTACAAATTAGGTGAACTATAGCTGATTGATTTTTAAGCATAAAAGAGCAGAAAAAATAAAAATTGACAAAAAAATATTAATTGTCTGTAACATTTATCTATGATGTATCCCAAAAGTATCAATCAAATTAAATTTAACATTAACTGCGCCATTTTATTTTACAGGAGATACGTTAGAAAATGTCTGAACTGTCCCCACAATTATTCCATGTAATGCAACGTTATATAATGAATAAATATTTGTTAAAACATTTTTAAATGCATGTTATACTAATTTTTAATGCAACGCCAAAGCGTCTACACTTAGTGATACAGCATTTTTTGGTATAGTGCTGACTTTCGGTGATTTTAATGGTAATTCTTCTATTTTCTCCAAATCATTTGCAGCACCGGCTGAATTTTGTTTGTGCAAAGGTGCTCTGACCTGTAAATTATCGCTTGTCGAGGTTAAACATGGCTCCTCACTCCTATCTAAACTAAATTGTCTTTTTAGAAACCTTAATCGATGATCGCATGATTTTGAATTTGTTGGTTGACTAAGATTACTATCACTAGGGCTCAAACACCGATAATGGTTGTATGGCGAGCTGAGATCATGCTCCTCTATTACATCTGCATGCCTGAATTTACTAAAACTTTTTCTAGGTTCAAAGAAAAGGTTTGCTCCTAATTCATACGTCGAAGAAGTTTTATGGTAACTTGTTCCACTTGCATCTTGAGAGCAAGAGAGATGGGCTTGCCTCTTATCTGGACTTCTGAGATTTTCAATTGCTTCTGGATCGCTCACATCTACTGAGAAATTCGAGTTCTTGTATAAATCATGTTTAGCAAAATAAGTATCTATTTGGTTTTGAGTTTCTTGAAAATTTTCAACATCAAAAGTATAACGATCTCTTTGTTGTGTTCCGTAGTGTTTTTCGTAACAAGACTTTGACGGTGTTCCAGGATCGCTAGCTGATTCAAGAGAACGCCTTTGAAATGAATGTGTTGTCATGCTACTTCTAGCTGGAAGCGATGTTTCTGACGCAGTTATGATAATATTTTCATTTACTCTGAAAAATATACTTGTAAGTAGTTACACGCGCAAAGTGAAATTAAAGTCTTAATAAAGAAATAACACACAATTGAAAATAAACTTACCCTTTCATCGGCCTATCCAGAAAGCATAAAAATTAAACAAAACATATAATAACTAATGTCTTGATATCAGTAATTTTAAAGTTACATAAAAAATATCCGATCTGTTTTTTAGAATTTCGTAAGTTTATATATAATTTCTTACCTAATATTTTTTCTCTACAGAAAATTATCTGATAATATTTTATTTTATTTAATATGGTATAACTTATTATTCAATTTTTTGCACCAATGCCCGGAAAGGCCTATTTTCACTTGGAAATGACGATTTTTAAACTTGTATAGATCATATAACTGTCACATAAAATATTGTATTATTTAAGATGACCATACACCCCGGATTGGCCGGGACAGTCCCGATTTTTTCGCCTTGTATCCCGGCTTTATCTAAAAGCAATATTTGTTCCGGTTTTAGGTGTTTTGTCCCGGATTTTTAAAAATGTTTTGATTGCCAATATATTTTTTAAATATATTTCAACTAGAAAATTTGCACAGAAAAAATGTGAGTATAAGATTTTAGCTCATCAACACCCCCTCTTTCCCCGCTCTCACACACATTCTAAACCGTCTCAGATTTTATGGGAAAAAATATGGTCACCTTGTATTATTTCATTCCTTGCATCAGCGATATACATAAAAATAAATCAAATCCCACCCAAAATTATAATAGAAAAATAACTCAACTTTGTAAAGTGTCTTTATACCTTAAATTGTTAACATTAATTAGCGTTAATCAGCGATATACATAAAAATAAATCTTATCCCACACAAAATTATAATAGAAAAATAACTCAACTTTGTAAAATGTCTTCATACCTTAAATTGTTAAGGTAGTCGAAAACTTCAACACAGGAAGTATGAAGTATGAAATATTCTTTCATTCAGAATAAAAATTTCACAATCAAATTAAACATACCCAAGAGTGGGAGGTGTAGGAAGAGGTTTATCGAATCCATGTTTGCCTAGGAGCCAGTGCGTGGTCATGACCCCTTTGCCTTTGACTTCGGTGGAACCTCTCGCCTCTAAAACGTATCCACCGGCTTGCTCTAAATAGTCCCGAGTGGCTTGCGATAAATGGATTCTCCAGGGTGCCCCTGATATAGTTTTATAAAAATGTAGTATGAACACAACGTCAATCTTCAATATTTAAACAATTAAGCAAAGGCATAATATATTAAACAAAACAAAATTACATTAATTTCAAATTTTTAGCCGATAAACCACTTTTCGTAGGCCCATATTATCTAAGCAAGTTTTTAAGACCATGATCTCTACCATCATTCAAAGTTCCATAAACATTTTTTTTAATTAGATACCCAACTCCGGTCGTTCGAACATTTTTTAAATTTTTCACATGGGTTCAAGATTTTTGGCTAAATCGTGGACAAAAAAAATTGCATTTTTCAACTTTTTCAATTCCTCATTAAGTTATATCTGAATTTTAGGAGTTGGTGTAGCCGATTATGAGGAATCGTTGGCGAATCCTCATACACCTTCGTAGTTCTTTTAATTAGGAGTGTCAAACTGTTCTGAATAATTTAGAACGTCTTCATATACATATATAAAATTTTTAGAGATTAAATATGAATTATTTATATGCTGGTAATTTTATAAAAAAGTACACTGCACTATATATATATATATATATATATATATATATTTATTTATTTATTTCTTACCAGTTGATTCCATTCTAGAAGCTGTATTGACTGTGTCGCCAAATAAACAATATCTCGGCATCGTTAGCCCAACTACACCCGCACAACAAGGTCCTAAAATATAGAAATATATAATTAACAACGTGTACCTAAAAATCACGAGAAATAAAGTACAAATATTGAAAAATTAGATGTAAAAACATTCTAAGATTTACTCAATTAATATACATATTTTTTCCACAATGTTAAAGTTTCATATACATTGTACTATATATGCATTTATCATAACCCAACAAGGTTTTGTAATAAATCTGTGAAAATGTATGAAGTTATTTTATGGAATAAAATGCGCAATTGCTCAAAAATCATCTCAAAAAATTATGTGGTTTGTTTAACAGATAATTTTTGATAATAATATTACAAATGATTTTGCAAATCTTTATATCCAGTATAGTCCACACTGATGATTTAAAAACTTGATTTGTGAACCATCAATGACAACATTGTTATGAATATCACTTCCCAATATATTAATATATTTCTATGGATAAATAAATTCTACTGTAAGAGCTTATTATCATTACCACTATGAAGTCCTATTCGTAATCTTAAAGGTGTCCCAGGCAAGTGTCTTATTTTGAAAGTCCCCGACTGGTGCAAAAGATCAAGTGCCATCGAAGCAATTTGCTCAGCATGATCCGGAGTTCGAGTCGGCAAGCCTCCTACGACCATGTATGCATCTCCTATTGTTTCGACCTAAAATCATAGATAGACTTAGAATCGACTAAAAATAAACACGAGTAGAAGTCTGAACCATAATATATTAAATGAATTATTGAGATAAAATTAATGAATTACGTTAAAATCAGACCATAAAGTAACTATATATATATATATATATATATATATATATATATATCTACAATGATGAAGTAGCTGGCAGTTTTATTGAACGTAGTCAGATAATTATTCGTTTGAAATGTTTTCACAATATAGTTTATATTTGCTCAAAATCTAATTGGACCTTTGTGCCTCGCCCTGCTCTACATATATATACTTTTTATTAAATTTACTTTAATTCATCGAATGTTACTTGAAACTTTTCAAAAAGCAGGTCAAAGAAGAAATACTTGCGGGGTCAGCTAGTATATATATATATATATATATATATATATATATATCAAATAAACAGTGAATTTTAAACTTGACTAAATCCTATATCTAATATTCAATAAATTCCAATGCAAAATTATTTTATTTTAATCTTTGAAGTACATGGAAACGATTTATATAAATGATTATAATTAGTGTATTCTAATAAAGACCATCACACTACACGTAATGAGCATAATGCGAAATCAAAATATTTACTATTAAATATTTCATGTACAAATTGCCAATATACCATCTATCACATTCAATCAACAGTATTTAATGTAATGTAATAGTCAATAATTTGAAAAGCTATTAGATACTGCAATACCGCACGGAAATGTAATTAATTAATTACCTTGTACACATTATAAGCGTTAATGGTGGCATCAAAGCACGTGTAAAGGTCGTTCAGTAGATCCACAACTTGCACCGGACTGCAATGGGCGGCTATTGAGGTGAAACCCACGATGTCGCTGAAATAAATCGTCACTTCGGAAAACTCTTCAGGCTGAACGGCTAAACCGAGTTTCAGTTTCTCCGCGACGGAACTGGAAATAGAACAAAATCGCTTAATTTAATGATTGACCTTAGTTTGATTATAGGTCAGACTTCAGCAAACTTTTAGAATTTATTCTTGACTAATGTTATATTAAGTGACCTGCTCGAAGCGTTCTATCTTTATAGTAAGTGATCTCTTTAATATTTCATACCTTTTTACCTTTGTATCTTGTAATATTGAAATACAATCTCACTGCCGTCAGGTTAAATAAAGAAAATCAAATAAGCTAACCATCTGTGCAAGAATTGTTTATGTATCATTTATCGTTGCGCAAGATATCTACTTAATCTCTGTCGATCCGTATATCTAAATTTTTATTATATGCTCATATTCCAGAAACCATTTATGATTTTGTATTTAATCGCATGCAAATAGGATTATCAGAATAAACATTTTTGACTAAATGATATGCTATTCTACTAAATTTTGACTAATGGTTCAAATACTGGGCAATTTTTAAATAAGACATTTTTAACTTCCCGTAGGGTAAGTTATAGTAATCGCAAAAAAATCGAAAATGAAATTTTTATATATACTTACGTTTCAAAGGTGTCTGAACATTTTGGCATTCCTTAGAAAAAATGTATGTATTCGTGTGTGTGCGGATACAAATTTTCGTCGACGATTTCGAGTACACGGATCAACCGATTTGAATAATTCAAAAAAACATTCGATTCGTATTGATAAGGAAAATTGCCGATAGTTTTTGGCGAAGGCAGGTCTAGCCGTTCCGACGATACGGCGCAAAAAGTCTCAAAAACGGTAACTCAGTTTTTAAGAAAACGGAGCGTCCGATTTTAATAATTCAAAAAACATTTTACTTATGTTGACAAGATGTAGAACTGATTAAATTTTTGGGTAGGCAGGTCTAGCTGTTAAGGACTCTTAATAAAAATAAGTTAAAAAAAATGGCTTTTGGCATTTATCAGATACTTATAGAGATTTTAATAATGTGTACACATTTTGTGTAATTTTTTTTGGGTTCCGTACCAAAAATTTTAATTACGGTAATCAAGAGATGGTCTTTCAAAGCCGACCAGTTTTAAGAATTCTAAAATCATAGTTTGGGAGATAGTTTAAAATCTTGAAAATATCGTGTAATTGTGCCATTATTTTTGGACTGTGGTCCCAGAAATGCTATTTACGGTTACGGATCCAAAGTTTAAATGAAAAAAGCAATAAAAGCTAAGCACATTAAAGTTATAACAATTTCACCAAAGCTGTAGATTGCACTTAAAAGCTCTATTTTCAAACAAAATGAAGTAATATTTTCACCCAGTTTCGGTTTGACGTTGAGTTCTGGGATACCCACAATATATATAAACTTTGCACTAATTCTACTATAGTGACGGTTCTAGTTATATATAAGAAAATTGGTACTACTGTAGAGCATTTTCGCAAGACTACTATTTGCAAGAATACAATGAATTTTGAAAAATAAAGATAATTTAATATAATTTTTAAGTACATTCTAGACATAAATAACATTTCACAATGAATGAGTTACCTCGGCAGCATCCTATTTAAGAGTTGCTCAGTTTTCTTTTTTTCTATGTCCAATTGTTCTGTTCTCTCGCGAATAAGATCTTCTAAATTATTACTATACTTTTCCAGCATTTGAAACATCGTGTCGACGAAGTTGACTTTCCTGTTAAGAAGTAAATTAATTATTATTCAACAGAGCAATAATTACATTATTTGAAAATATTAAATAATTAATAGGTTAAAATATTGTCATAAAAATATCAGTCTTCAAAACCGCTCTACGCTAACTCAATATCTAAATTTATTAAAATCATGCAGATAAATAAAATTCCACAAAATCCACTTAACTTTTAAACCCTCAACATAATGATACAAAATGTCATTAATGTGCCAGAAATCTAATTCCACAAACTAATTATTTTCTGAAAGAAAGCTTATTTAATATGTCTGAAAGCTTCAGCTACATTAAACAATAAAGTTTTGATAGGTCATTTCCAAGAAGCCATTATGAAAGTTTAGTCAAAGCATAAAAGTTTGTGATCCTTATCCAATATAAATAAACTTTGACATCTTTAATTCATGCTGTTTACTGTTGTGATTGTTTTGAGTTTTTGGGTATTAAAAATTTATACTTCAAGAAACACTCGCCCTAACACTGACAGTTGACCCATATTTCTGTTTTTTTTTATAAAATATATGATTGTTATGTTATATATATATATATATAAATTCTAAAAATGCTGTAACTTACCGTCCATGATTGAGTTTCTTAAACAGATCATAAACGGCGCAGAAGTCTGGACGCATTTCCGGCTGTTCTGCCCAACATTGACGCATTATGTTGATTGCTTCCGGCGGTGCTGCACCTTTCGAAACTGATGGACGAATCAACGGTGGTGGTTTTTTTACTTTTTCTATAATTTCTGAAGTTAAAATACGAATAATTAACTCAATGAATAGCCATGTATGAAAGGAATATTCATAACAAAAGTATTTAGTTTTATCGGTATTTTTTGGTTTTAAGCTCTTTTATTTAGTTTATAATACCAAGAATAAGATGTTTTGTTATTTTTCAGATAAATTCAATAGTGTTTTTTTATATAAGCTCTATAAAAGCCTACATGTGGGTGGAGTAAAAATGACCAACTAAAATATTTACACGGGCAAGTAAATAGAAAGGTAGATTAAGTTAAAAAAAGGCAATTTTAAAAGAGATAAATTAATAGTTATTCCATATCTTTTAATGGATATTTTTCCAAAATACTAGAACAAGCTTATATTTAAAAAAATGTGCTCATGAAATTTATATTTTGCATTGCTTAAATAATTTAGATATTATTTCGTTAAACCCATTCAAAATTAAAATTAAGAAATTATATCTGTTAGCCTGATGGCTATACCTTTCAACTCTGGCTATGAGATAAAAATAACCCCGGCGACAAATTTTAGAAAAATTGGTAAAACATTTTTATAATTAGGATATTCATTAGAAATTTAACTGAACAAAGTCCAATAGTTGTTTGATACATGCCATTTGTTGTGATGTTAGAAATACATATGTATTATAAAATCTCTAGATGTAGTTGGTTTGGTTTAGTCAGTATAAGCACTGAAATTAAAATTGGACCTTTGTACCCCGTCCTGCCCTACATATAGTATCATAACAGATCGTTTGAGTTACTCACTTATATTACAACATAATCCGCTTATGTACATTATGGTGCATTTTTCATAGCAGTAAATAATGCACTTACTGTTTAGTGATAATATTGTATAAGCTAACAGCTAGAGAGCTTAATTAACTCTGGATTCAATAATCCTCATGTTTACGAAACTTTAATAATAACTATGTAGCACTACTACAGCACTCTATATATCACAAAGTTAATTTAAAAATATTTGTTATTTATATACACAGAATCAATTAAAAAATTGAACTTGCGCAAAGATATATAGTTAATGGAAATAAAAAATAAATAAATATTGATTATATAGAAATTTTAATACTATTTGTAGTACTGACAATATTAATTTATTAAAATTCAAATTATGCAATCGATGCAATTTATAAAATTTACTAGAAAATTGAGATTCTAAAAATAGTTTAGCTTACTTATTTTAAATATTGATTTAATAAATATAAATCAATTAAAAAATTGAACTTGTGCAAAGATATATAGTTAATGAAAATAAAAATAAATATTGATTATATGGAAATTTTAATACTATTTGTAGTACTGACAAAATTAATTTATTAAAATTCAAATTATGCAATCGATGCAATTTATAAAATTTTCTATAAAATTGAGATTCTAAAAATAGTTCAGCTTACTTATTCTAAATATTGATTCAATAAATATAAACCAATTCAAGAAATTAGAGAACAAATTAGAATTAACACATAGCCGTTCATCTACTAACATCGTAAGATTAAAGATGACACCTGGTTACACATCTTTTGTCTTCGGTTTTAAAATAGTATCGTTGAAATCCATACTTTACTCGTTTTTGAGATAATTGCGGTGAACTTTTTTACTCATGAATCTTTAAGCTCCGGTTTACTCTATATAGTTCAAAGTGGTCCTGAATATGGACATTTTCGAATTTCCTTGCTCCCAAGGGCTCAAATGGTTTCAAATTGATAAAAAACAATTCTCTGAAAGTTTTAGCTCTTAATTTTGTCTTCTAGATAAAGCGCAATTCAATCAAACTTAGAATGGAAATAGCATGGAAAAAAATTTGAAAATTTAAAAAAAAATTTTGGGTATAACTTAGCGACAAATAAATTGAAAGTGAAAATTTCTGTATTTTTTATTGAAAATTCGACGCTCTGCAAAATTTTTGAACATTTGTTCATGCTATTTTCATACAAAACTTTGATTGAATTGCGCTCTATCTAAAAGACAATGAGCTAAAAACTTTCAGAGAATTTTTATCAATTTGAAACTATTTGAGCCTTTGGGAGCAAGAAAATTCGAAAATGTCCATATAAGGACCACCCTAATGTGTTGTTTACTTAAATGTAATAAATTTTCATCAACCATAACGGTGTCTATAAGTTATCTTTTTACATCGAATCCATAACCACGACAAAACAAATATATTGTTATAGTTCATTAGTGACATTCTCCATAACCAAACATTTATTGCTGTATTAGGTCTCGGTTAGTAGGCAGTCTCAGTCATTAATATTGCTAAAATCGAGTTGTGTAGCGTGTAAATACAATTAGGCAA